TATGAATCCCTTGGTGTCCTGGAATGGATTTGGGAACAGCCCTGAGGAACATGACATCCCTTGGTGTCCTGGGATGGATTTGGGGACAGCCCTGAGGGACATGAATCCCTTGGTGTCATGGAAAGGAATTTGGAGACATGAAATCCCTTGATGTCACAGAAAGGACTTTGGGGACATCTTTCATGAAATCAGTGCAAAAATTACTTTATCATGCTTTGGGCCACCTTAGGCATTAAAATCTCTATGGTCTGATTTTGTCCTAAGAGTACAAAGCTGTCCTAGAATAAATCATAGAACCATTGAGGTTGCAAAACACCCTCCAATGTTTTCCCAGCCCTAAAATGCTTTCACTTAAACCGCTCCCTCCAGCGCAAATCAGTTAAAACCTGAATATAACATAGAAAAAACAGGCAAGAGCACGAGGAAAAACACAATATATGGCTTTTAAGAACACCCTAACAGCTCTCTGGGTTTGTTTTTCAGGGGATGAGGACGATGAAGCCCCAATGATAACTGGATTTTCAGATGACGTCCCCATGGTCATCGCGTGAGGGCGCAACTCTGACTGTAAAAAAAACCAAATGGTGTAAATATTTTATTTGATAAAAATAGTTGATTGTTTATTTTAAAAATGCACTTTGAGTTGCAATACGTTATTTTTATATGGGCCAAAAAAAATAATAATAATAATAATAATTTTAAGAATACACTTTGTAGTAATCAACTGTGAATTGCAGACTAGGTTGGTTGAGTAACAAATTGCTTTGATTTAACATTAATTTAGTCTTACAAGGCTATGCTTGCTGGGCATGCTTTTAAGTCTGTGAGATATTTTCCGTTGACTAAATTGGCTACTCGTTTTATTTTTCTAAGACAAGAATAAATTTATTTAAAAAAAAAAAATTCAGGAGATTATATATGTAGAGAGAGATAAGTAATATAGTCCCTGAAGGTTTTGCTTTTACTTTAGAAAAAAAAAAATCCTTTGGACTTTGTTTTATATGGAAGTATTTTTGTTGTGTTAATTTATTGGGAAATCTGCTCGTGAACAGATTTCCAAAGTCGTCAGACATTGTACACATTATTGTGTAGAACATGTGCCACTTTATCTTGCAAGGCAGTAGTATCTTGGCATCCCCATCATTGTTCTTGCCATGATAATACAAATCCTTATTTTTACATATTTTTGTCTCCCTTATCAAAAGGCCCAATTTTTGAGCAAACTCAGAGCTCAAGTCCAGACACGGCAGCACAAACTTTCTGGAGGAGTTTATCTCCCTGCTGCCCTACCTGGAAGCCAAAAGGGTCGTGCAGACCCTTGTGTGTGGGTGTGACAGGCCGTGAACCCATTAGCAGGAGGGGTTTTGGGGTCTGATTATCCCTGGGCAGCAGCACAGAAAGGTTTGGGTTTGCAGGGACCTTAAAGCCCATCTCATTCCACCCCCTGCCATGGGCAGGGACACCTTCCACTGGCCCAGGTTGCTCCAACCTGGCCTTGGACACTTGCAGGGATGGGGCAGCTTTTGCAGTGCTGTTCCAACACCCAGATTTTGCAGTTCTGCCCCTCACTCCCAGGTTTGCAGCAACAACACCTCACACCCTCCCCTGCTGCCCAAACCCCCTCGGGGGGCTCCTGCAGCCACCGAGCTGCTGCTCATCACACGGGGCTTAATTAACCTGCAGTTTACATCCATAACAACACCAACAAAATTTGCCACTAGCACCTTAAAACACCCTCCCCAGGTAATGAGGACACCTTTCCTCCTGGAGCTTTCCCTCAGATGCTGACACTGTGGTGGGACGGAAGGGGGAGCCTCCGGTGTGCACGACTGGGAAAGGCTTCGCTCCAGGTTTTCCACAGCCACACGGAGCAGTGATTACTGAACATTTAAATTCGTTTGGTTTACAGCAGGGATTCAATCCTCCCTCCTTAGCATTTCCTAAAAGCAGCTGTAGTTGCACCCTCAACTCTAAGGAAAAAAAAAAAACAAAACATATATATCTACAAATATATTATTTTCCCATCACTAGTCATCTCACGTTTCCAGTAGACATAATCCTGGCTACGAGAGCCAAGCAATGTCTACATACCACTGTTGAGCTTTTTTGTTGTGGTTTATTTTTTTTTTTTTGATAGCAAAATGTGAATCTCACCACTACTTGCCAACCCAAGGGCCACGACAGGGGCGGATGCTCAGGGCTCTCACCTGTCCGTGCCCTGTATATGCAAAACCCCTCACCAGTAAATACAGCACACACTGTCTTGTCACACTGTTTCCTTCCCTTTAAAACCAGAGTATTTTTTGCTGTGTAAATTAGGTTGTAATTGCAGTCTTCCTACGGATGAAATGAGAATGGCCAACTATGTTTTGATACACGACCGATCCGTTTAATTTCACAATAGAAAAATGTGTAAAAAGTTGAAGTCTGGATGGTTTGATACTCTATAGAAATACTGACTCTATTTTCAATTACTGGTGTTAACATTCCTGGAGACAGATTCCTCCCCCCCCGCCGCCCCCCAGAGCTGGGACCAAACTAGAATCAGATTTTTATAAGTAGCAGCAAGCTTGCAGAGTTGCAATATTTTTACCTTGTTAGTGGGTCAGGTGATGTTCAGGAGCTGAAATTTTGAATAAATCAACCCAGCACACATAGCTCTATTTGCCTGGAGTTACAGCTACACAGAGAGACCAGAATCTGACCCAGAGGCTAAACTAGTCTGAAAAAACATAAATCAAAAATTTGATACAGGAAAGGAAGCCTAAAAGCAGAGATAAAGAGTATTGAACTCCTTCCTTATAAAAGCAAATCTTTTTGCACAGGTAACTGGAAATTACAGTACAATATCCCAGGAGCTGGTACCTCTCTGGTGAGAATTAGTAGGGGTTAAATACAGATACTTTACTCCCCCAGGGGTAAATCCTGCTCCAGTAAGGTGAGCAGAATTTAGCCCATCTCTGCCTCGAAGCAAGATTCCAAGGGGGATCCTTGTAACCACTTTAAATCCTGCAGAAATCCCTTGGCTGGAGATTTCCAAGCAGCAGCTGGGGGACAATTCACTCCTGGCCACTCTTAAAGGCTTCTTTGTTCCAGTGGCTGGTACAGAGCGAAGCATTTTGGGGTCCTACTGGACCCAAAAACCAACACTCTTGGTTACCTGTGCCTCCCTAACCCAAGGTGGGCAGAGCAGAGCCCTCTGAGCCTGGTCTGCAGAGTCAAGCCTGGGTTTGGGGGCTCTGCAAAGCCCAGCTTTCCTCGTGTGGACGGTGCTGTAACACTCCCCAGCCCTCCCAGACTTTCCCTTCACTGCAAAAAATCACCACTGTGCTCTCAGCAAAGCAACTTCACAGGGCTAGTGTATTTTATATATATATAGATAGATAGAGAAGTCTAAGCTCCAGGTGGGGATTGAGCAGATTAGATGCAGTCCTGGGTAAATTGTATATTTTTATGAACTTTTGAAGCACGGAAATCTTGTTCACGGAGACATATAGGGGGTGGGAGGGTTCTGCTGTAAATAGGGTCCATGGATGTGGATGTATATTTTGTTCTGGTTTTCCTTTCAGTAGCCTTATGCAATGTGACATGATTCTAGTGCCCTAATTTTTGGGAGGTGATTTGGGTTTGTTTTGTAGGAACCCAATGAAACGTTTGGATCTGTATGGGAAAAATATAAAAGTACCCTGGTCAGGAGGAACTTATTCCAGTTAATTTGTGTTTGCATCCATTTCAGATTTCCCACAGGTGCCCATGGGCACTCTCAAGTCCATTTGAACAAAGGTTGAACCCTAAAATCTGGTGGGGTTTTGGACCATGGATTGCTTTGGGTTTCTGAAGGTTTTTTGTGTGTTTTCTGGGGGTGTGTTTTTGTTTTTTTTTACAACAAAGGAAAAGGAGGCGCCATTTTCCGGCCCAGAGATCTGACCACCCTATTGAAGGTCAAAAAAAATGGATCTTTTTCAGCCTGAATAAATCACATCTGTTGGCTGGAACCTCTGTAAAAGCTCCCTGCACCCACCTCCTCGGAGCCCGGCGCCTGCCCCGGGCGCGCACGGGAGCCAGCTGGAACAGGAGCTTCCAGCTCCTCTGGGGTTTGGCTGACAGCCTGGACCCCAGGTAAACACTCAGAGGAATTTTGGAGAGGGGTGAAACGTGTCATGTTGTCCCCAGGGGAAAAGCCTGCCTGCAGATATTTCAGCTGCAGGAGAGCCGGCGTGCTGCGAGTTCACGCCCCGTCTAACCCTGCCATAACTTGTTCCATGTGCTCCCACCTTGACACAGCATTAGCAGGAGGCAGCTGCAGATCCAGGACTGGGAAAAGACTATTTTGCTTGGGCAGAGATCAAGTTACATATGGATATATAGGAGCCCAGACCCAGCCAGGAAGGGGAGGAGAGAGCAGAGAGGCAGAGCTGGCTCCCGACACCCACATAATCATCTTTTGGCCTCGTGGCCAAAGGACCTTTGTGTTTGATGGTCACCTTGGTGGTCGCCACAGTAGTTCACTCATCCTGTTTCCAGAGTCACCAAGAGCAGCCCCAGCATCACATAAACCACCAGGGAAATGCCACCTAAGCCAGCAACTCTCCCAGGGCAGATCCCAGTCCGGGCATCTCCATGCTTGGAATCTCTTTGCAGGGACAGAGTATGCTCTGTATATGAGCCTGTGAGTCTGTGTATGACAAACTTCACTTACTTGCTGGTGGAAATGTAAAATGTGCTCAGGAAAGACCAAAATAACCCTTTCTGAAGCAACTTTCAAGTCTCCTTCAAATGGACTTGAGAAGGGAAATGGTGCAATGACTTAGTTACTCTTGGACCCTGAGAGCATCTTCATTCCTGGAACTAGCTGTAACATTATAATTAATCCTTCAAAACGTGCAGCAGTCTACAAGCAGCCAGTCTCTAATGAGATTTTTAGAGGTAGTGTCAACTTTTGATCTGATTCCTTAAGTGAAGTTTAATATTATATCATCAGAATCGCTCCTCTGTGTCTTGTTTGGTTTTTTTATATTTTCCATTCACTGATTTCTGCTATGTATTATTGCACAATTTTGAAGGAATTTTTGTCTGTCAATTTTTTTCCCCCCACTTAATGATAATAATAAAAATGGATTGGGTAAACAAAGCAATTTCTGGTTTCTGAGATTATTACCTAACCTCTGTGTGTCTAGTGCAATACAAAAGAGGCTTTTCTCTGGATGTATTTTTGGTTTACAGCAGAAGGATGCATGGTTTAACTTAACAGGATCGTAAGTCATGGAGTAGAATGGGTTGGAAGGGTCATTAAAGATCATCTTGTCCCAACCCCTGCCATGAGCAGGGACACCTTCCACCTCCAAGCCCTGTCCAACCTGGCCCTGGACACTTCCAGGGATGGAGCAGCCACAGCTTCTCTGGGCAACCTGTGCCAGGGCCTCGCCTCTCACACAGCAAAGAATTTCTTCCTAACATTTAATCTAAACCTGCTCTCTGTCAGTTTGAAGCCATTCCCCCTTGTCCTGTCACTACAGTTGCTGGTGAAACTGCAGAGATAGGACAAGGATGATCAGAATCAGGAAAACTGAGCTGTGGGAAGGTGCCCCTGACATTCATAACACAGTCACGTCCCTGCCTGGTGCTCAGTCCCCTCCTCCAAGGTCAGGAAGCAACACCCTCAGACACCAGAAAACATTCCCAGCCTGTCCAAGCTTCCCCTCCACCACCCTCCAGCGTTAAGCCTGGCTTGCTGCTCACATCACACGTATTTTCCCTGCTTAAAACCCACTTCCACACCGATGCCATCCCTGCTAACAGTGTCTGCACCGCTGGTGCTTGAAGCAGGTACAGCTGACACCTGAGCAAGCAGGATGGCTCCTGGCAGGGAGAGGTAATGAGCAGGCAGCAGTCTCTTCACACGTACCTCATTTCTCAGCCCAGATAATTGGAAAGGCAACACGTGATCTTGGTGGACATAATTGAGGCGTGCAGGCATCTTTAAGTGTTGCACTTCATTAACGTTTAGCTCAAGGCAACATTAGCAAACAGCCATTCCTTCCTCCCCGTTGCCCCTCTGTCAGGAATGAAGCTGATTTTCCCTACTGTTGCTGGAATAGATTGATCCCCCCGGGAGGCACAAGAAGTTACACCTCGTTCCCAGGCACTTACTTTCTGTTAGAGGAGTCAACGTGACTCTGAAGCTTCGGTGCTGTCACTGAGAAAACTTCTATTCCACCAGGATTTTCTTCCTCTCCTTAAAAACCTGCAGATCTTTACAGGCAGGAAAGATTTCCCCCCTAATCCTTTATTTACAGCCTTCAACATGGCAAGTTGTAACATTTTTTCCCACTGTGATGCACATGAGAACCCACCAGGGAGGAAGATTCCAGTTGCTGGAGGAGCTCTGGTTGGAGCACATGGCACAAACCCATGCAGGAGGCTGGGATCCAGGCTCCCTCCACTCTGCTGCTCCTGAAAATACACTTTTCCCTCACAAATAACATCAGGGGCTGCTTCCAGCGGATACAGGGAGGGGAAATGCAGGAGCAAGGAAGCCAGGTGGAAATACAGCAAGGCCAAGACTGGAAAAGCCCTTCCCAGCATGGGTTAAGCATTCCACAAAAGACACAGGCTCTGATCTTGAGGGAGAGCAGCTGAAGTTCTGGCTCGCTGCTCCTCCTTTGAATAAGCAATCCCAGTGTCCTGTGCCAGACTCCTGAACCATTGTGTTTAGCCTTTCTCAGCAGGAAAGATGAAATAACTGAGGATATTTCGCTGCAGAACTCAAGCTGGATTTTGGGATGGAGGAGCCAAGAGCTCCCAGATAGCCCAGCCCCTGCTCTAAGGAAGGGAGAGAGGGTTTTTGGAAGGAAAGGCTCATGCTAACCATCAACATCTTGGCTCCTGCCACAGACCTCTCAACCTGCCAAATGTGGGATGCAGGAAAAATGGCATCTTCCAGGATGTGTGGTTTATTTCTTCCCTGTAAATTATAGGCATCCAGGAGCCCACATCCTCCAACTCTCATAGTTGGGCTGGCAACCTGCCCAGCAGATTTGCTCTGCCCAGGCCCCACAGAGCAAACCAGGGAGCAGCCCTGACCTCTGATTTGTCAGAACACCTGAGTGAGGTTGTGCTGAAAAAAATCCCACAGCTCTGGAGGATGATGGAGGGTCACAAAAAAGGGCCTTTTTTATGATAGTGACACGGGAAGGAAAGCCAGGAAGACAGTCAGGGAATGGGAATGGGGGTGTGAGCTAAGCAGGAGTTAATTAAATACATCCTGAAGCTGGTTACAACCTGTCACTGGCTGTACTGGAGGGGAAAATTTTAGAGATGGAGGATCTGAGGCAGAGGTGGACAAGTGACATTCACATCACCAAGCCTCACATCTCCTGGGTGGCTCAGCCAAAAAAAAAAAAGCTTGTTTTCTCCGGATCTTTCTGTAGCCAGTGGAGGGAAGCAGATACCCTCTAAGGAGGAATTCAGAACCTGAATGGGAATTTAGGACCTGAATGAGCCATTCTTAAAGATTTTTCTACACTTTTTCATTCCCCTTCCACTGCAAAAATGTCTGCCTGCATATTCTCTGTTTCCCCAAGCCTGATATCCCAAAGGGCAATGGCAAGAAGACGGAGAAGAGGTTGGAGGTTCCTCCTGGTCTGGGCTCTATGTAGCATTAGGCAGGATTCATCTCTGCCCAGGCTGAGAGGGTCACTCCAGGCTTTGTCTGCAGCCAAGGATGAGGCACAGCAGTTCAGAGAGTGCTTCCCCTTGTCTTAAAATAGGTCAGACTCTCTTTGCTATAAAGAGAACTCGAGGCAACCACCTCACAGCCAGGCTTGTGACTGTAAGACACCAGAGCCTACGTGAAACGAATCCCAAGGGCCGTGATGTGGGTGAGAACATCCCCCCTGCAGCCAGCCAGCCCCCTCCTGCTCCTGGAGCACACACTCTGCCTTCAGAGCCACACAGCCCGTGCTGCAGGCTGCACAGGAGACCCCGCCAAGCATCTCTGCTTTGTTAGCACCCCTTTCCCAAGCTGCTTCCCAAGGCTCTGCTCATGCTGCCAGCACGGCAGGTCCTCTCCCAGCGCTCTCCAAACTCCCCCTCTGAGGGCTGCTGGTCTGGCATTGGGTTTCTAAAACGACACAGCTTTCCTTTCCCCCCTGCCGTGGCTTCTTGAGATCCCTGAGAAAGCCAGGAACAGAAGCCCAGAGGCCAATTCCCAGTTGTGCATTCAGTCACAAGACCAGCTTCGTTTTCAACCCAGTTCCCCTTTGCAGCAGCTCTAAGTTAAACTCCCAGCCAGCGTGTCTCTGTACCCAGGAAATCACCATGGCAGACTGAGGGATGGGAAAGACAATAGCGTGTTTGGCTCATCCATTTGGATCAACCCCATCCTCAAATGTACTTTTCCTCCTAAACTCATTTAACCTCCCAACCAAGAGCCACACAAGGATGGCGAGCTGTTTGTTCCGAGACCAGATCTCCTGGGAGAGCAGGCACAAAGAATAGAAGGCAGCCTGGAGAGAGAGAGAGAGAGAGAGAGATGGAAGAGGGGGAAAACCGAGAAAGGGATTCGAATGCATCGCCCTTGGAGACCATGCCAGTGACCTGCTAAAGCCCAGCCATCATAAATAAATAGGCTGCGTTTATTGTCTGGCCAAGCGCGGTAATGCTTGAGCCGGGTCCAGCGGGTGGGGCCAGGGCCGGCATCGCTCCCCCGCGCTGAGGCAAAACAGATGTCGGGCACCCCAGCGCCGGGTTTGTCGCGTGATTTTGTGCCGCATGCGACTGATGGGGGGGGTGGGGGTGGGTTTGTTAACGGCCAAAACCCCGAAACGGAGCCAAAAAAGCTTCCGCCGCGGTGGCGAATGCCGAGCGAGCGGTGACAATGCCGGTGAGCGCAGCCCCGAAACCTGCGGCGATCAAAGCACAGACACACGGGCCAGACCCCCGGACACACTCGTGGGAGGGCTGAGCGGGGATGTGTGGAGCTGGGAACCAGCTCCATCCGCACCGGGACCCAGAATTCACTCTTTAACCTGTTTTTTCCGCTGATTCGGTCCAAAGCACCAGTTCCCAGCTGACCCCACTGCCACCCATGTGCAGTAGATGGCAGCAGAAGCTTTAGTCACTGGCCACCAAACTCGCCAGGATCCCTCCTCCTCCTCCTCCCCCCGCCTTCTTTTTTTTTTTTTCTTTTTTTTTTTTTTTTTTTTACTTTTTACTTTTGGTGGCCTCAAAAATTATTAGTTCCAGATGAGCTCCTGCCATTGTAATAGTCCATTTAACCCGATCCACTCTGAGCAGAGTCAGTGCAAGTTCAAATGCAGCGTTTTCGTGTGTAAACTACACATCAGAGACGTATTTTCTGCACGGGCTCTGGGCATTCCTTGAGCAGAGGAAAAGGGGAAATGCAGAAGGTTAAACCTCACACACACACCGTGGGCAACAATGGCACTTTGTCAAGCCAGCGCTGCCAGAGCAGGGCTGAACTTATGAATTGAACCAGGAACCTCAGGACTGCTTCTCCCTTTGAAGATTAGCACTAATAAGCCAAACCAGTGGGTATTTTGTTTTATAAGGAAGGAGCATTTCAAGTCACGTACGCTGCTATTGTTGGACACAAAACATGCACTGTCTCTGCCTGCGGTGACTCCAGCGACTGCTCCACGCTTGTCTTTTGCTGGGATTACCTTTATTTTTGTACTAGATTAAATTTACCTCCCACCATCTTCCAGGCCTATTAAAACTGATGGCGTTTCCCAGGGCTACTTACACACACATAGTTTCAAAAACCCCTATTTGTACCATTTTACCATTCAAATTTTGTGCCTTGCGTGGATTTCGCTTTCAGAAATAACAACCAAAACTACTGGAATAAAAAGCACGTCCTATATAGATGAGTTACATACAAGAGGTGCATTAAATGATTTGTTTCTGGTAAACCAAGACAGCTCTGGCACAACACATGGAATATTTCATGTTGTTTGCTTTTGTAATTCACTGTACACACAGCCTTTAATCTGAGGATCTCCGAGCACTCTGCACAGTTTAATTAAGGCCCAAAACTGCCATGTTGGGGAAGTACATTAAGTGTTGTTATGCTGATTCTTTACAGATGGGTGGACTCAGGGACTGAGT